CCAACCTTCCTTCCGAGGAGTGGCTGGTGGGTTTGAACCGCCAGCCTTCTGGTGAGCAGTCAAGTGCCTTAGGCACTATGCTACCAGAGCTCATTAGTGATGTTTAAAAGGCAAGGTTATATTTTTTTTTGTCCAAAAAAGTATTGAATCTATCTACAATTTAGATCTATGCAAAGCTAGAGAATGTGTATACACAGGTATTCTCCACCTTCATAGCCCATTTTTGTTAATATATTCTCACTCCTACTAAAATATCGCAGATATATTTGTTTATCATATGTTATTGTGGTTGGGTGCTGGTGAGTCAGTTCTGATTACATATTGTTGTGGTTGGATGCTGTTGACTCAGTTCTGAGTCATAGTCTATCCCGTATGACAGAGTAGAACTCTTCCATAGGGTTTTATTGGCTATAATTTTTACAGAAGCAGATCACCAAATGTTTCTCCCTGGAGCTGCTGGGTGGGTTTACACTAGCAAACTTTTGGTTAGCAGTCTAACACTTAACCATGGAGCCATCAGGGCTTCTAGTTTATCATATAAGATATTCATTTTAGAAGAATTTCATAATGACAATATTGTATGAAATTATAAAATCTTAATTTCATTATTGCCTCTCAATAAATATATGAAATAAATATCCTATACAGTCTTTTACATCAGTTTTATGCAGATGTTTTATTTTTCATGGATGGAAGAAATTGGAACATGTACAAATATTAAATGGGAGTTAAATAAATGTTTTATCATGTTAGAAAATGAGAAGCATAAAAATAAATGCAGTTTCTAAGCATATGATATATGTCAGACATTGTATTAGGTATGTTACCAATAGTAATTCTAGTCTCTAAACCTGCTATATTTGCCAAATATTTTTGGGTCTGATTAACAGACCAAAGAAAAAATCAAATAAGCCATATATCAAATATATAATTCCCTGGATTTCCCAAAACCTCATTATGATGACCTTTCCTTTAAAATAAGATCTTGACACTTCATTATGAGGGAGAAAGTCTAATAAATAGTATCCAATCCCTACTTGTTAATTGTATCTGGGAGCACTGGAAAGGAGATAAATCAGTAGCTCATACCTGTTATAAAACAATTTCTTAAAGCATCTTAAGAAACATTAACATTAGTTTCTTTGAAAATTTTAAAAAGATAGTAAGTTTTTAAAAATTATTAGGTATCTAGAATTGAAAAAGAATATATTACCTTGTTTTCTGGATGGAAGACAAGGTCCAGGCAGTATGAGATCTAAGACAGGTTATCCCTGCACTATTTAAACCTTGTTTCTCTATGATATGATAATTCTGTGGTTTAAAATACCTATAAAAGATTTGAATTCTAAGAAATGATGATGATTAGAAATTGTTTTTCCATCCAATTTTTAGTGGCACAGATTCCAAGGAGTGCTTCAATTCAGGTTGATTTAGGACATGATAAGAAGAAATGAGGATGTTAAAACATATAATGCTGTTCTGTATTCTGTATGTGTGTGGCTCACCTTTGCCATGAACTAGTTGTGTGTTTCAGTAAGATTTTAATCTCTGTTACTCTCAGTTTTTTTCTTGAATAAAGTTGGGATACTGTGAATAAAAAAAAAAAATGGAGGTACCTCAACGTCTCTTATGATCTACAATCTCTTGGATAAATATCTAAAATGGCATGCTGGATGTGTTAACTAAAATTTCATTAATATATGGAGAAATATTTTCCATATCCATTGCTTATGACTTGTCAACACTAAAAATATGATTATGCATGTGGAAGTCAAAGTTATATAAAGGGAAATGTAGTTCTACAACTTATTAGCAGTAATTTTCTTAAGGTGTTACTTTTTTAAACTTTCTCAGCAGTTTCTGTATCTGTAAAAGAGTAATGACTGGAATATCTAATACAATTTATGAAGCTGCAATGACTACATATTTTTATGTACTAAGGATAAGATCTACCAAAAAAAAAAAAAAGAAAGAAAAAGAAAACTTGATTGTAATACATGTGGTTCATTGTTAAATAAATATTTAGTGAGGGACTACCTGTATGTACTTTTGGTATGCCTTGAAAAAATATATGAATG